GGCCTCAACGACTCTTGAGCCGTTAGAGGGAGGGGGATGGGGATTGGGGAGGGGAGGGGGAGGCTAAAAAACATTATAAATACCCCTTTTTTTCGTAAAATATCACACTCAAAATCTCAAATACTCAATTCATCTCTCATTCTCTGAAATCTCAATCTATCATTCTTAATTTCTTAATTCTTATCAATCATTCTTAATTTCTTAATTCTTATCTATCTTTTTTAAATATATTATATTTTAATATATAAAATTTTGAAATTATTTGAAATTTTCAAAATTTAATATATTTTTAATATCAAAAAATATATAATTTATATTTTAAATATATTCTCTATTATTTATTGAAATTTTCGAAATTTTAATATATAAAATTTCGAAATTTTTTTAATTTTTCCAAAAGTAATATATTATTTTAATATCAAAAAATATATATTAAAATGTCGAGGGAGTCCGGTAGAAGGTCCGTGGATATGGGCGACGTGAACCGAAAATATTACTGAAAATATTTTTCTATTGCTTCAGAGTATTCTGCGGGAATATAACTTATCTGAAAAAGTTTTTCATTTGGTTTTGATAATGCTACTAATAATACTGCCGCTATTCCTAGACTTAGAGAAATTTGCCCACCGTCTACGACTCTGGGTAGATTTCTGCATCAACGGTGTGCCTGTCATGTTTTAAAGTTATGTGTTCAACAGGGACTAGAAGCTATGGGCGGAGTTTTGACAAATATTAAAGAAGGAATTAAAAAAATTTGGGGGGCTCGTCTTATTTCGAGGTCCTGGATGATGTTCTGTAAGTCTAAGGGTAAAAAAGAAATAAATTTTGCCAGAGATATCAACATTAGATGAAATAGTACTTACAAATTGATTGCACAGATCCTAAGATATAAAGAGGAACTTGTTGAATTTTTTAGGGATGAATTTCGTATAATCATTAATCCTTTTGAATTTGCTATTGTTGAAAAATTGAATGTCGTATTAGAAGTTTTTAATAATGCAACTCTTAGTTTTTCCCATGTTTACCAACCAACTACAAATACATTTTTTAAAGAGTGCATTACAATCGCAACATGTTTTCGTGAAAGTATGGCTGATCCAGATTTGTACACTTATGTCTCTCCTATGAGAGATAAATGGTGTACTTATTATTTGTACATTCCTGATATTTATAAAATAGGTACTATTTGTGATCCACGATTTAAGATTGAAAATTTTAAAATTCTAATTGAGTATTACTACAGTTGTTTTTTAGATAAAAATAGTTATTACTACAGCTATTTAGTAGAATGGAAAAATGAAAGAGATAATGCTATAACTCTTTTTGAGGATTTGTTTAAGTAATATCAAGGGTTATACGGTACTGTATAAGAAGAAACAGCACCACCTCCGCCCCCGAAATCAAAAAAAGGTTTTGCCGGAATAGTCGGTGGCCTTCTTGTAAAGTAAGGGAAGAGTGCCCAGTCTTCGACGAGTTCAAGTGGTACAACAGTAAGCTCGCACAACGAACTTGCTATGTACCAGGGTGTGCCATGCGATTACGATGACGACGACGTCGATTTTGACGTGCTCGGATGGTGGAAGCGGAACGAACACATGTTCCCATGTCTCGGCATGCTAGCAAGACAAGTGTTGTCCGTCCCGGTATCAACCGTAGAAGTTGAACGAGAATTCAGTGCTGGCGGCAACATTCTAACCGACTACCGAAGTTGTCTTAACGTTGAATCTCTTGAAACACTCGTTTGCAACCAAGATTGGCTCTTGGCAAGACGTTGGGCTCAAGAGTCATCGTACCAACTCGAATCGGAGCATTACATGAATGCAACCACAGATGGAAGTCCGAGTTCTAAAGAATAAGTTATAATTTTTTTTATGTTAATGTAAATATGTAATTAGTTTTTTTAGGTGGGCGATATATAAGCTCCTTCGAGGGTTTCTTTACGGTTCTTTACCTCGTCGCTTTTTTTGAACCGTCAGGATATTAAATGTGGTTGTTCTTTAGTTAGTGTATTACTCATTTTCAATATTTAAATAACAACTACATTTTTAGATTTTTTATTTCATTCTTTCCTTAAACAATTGCAAATTTACAATTTTATACTTTAAAAATTTAAAAAAAAGCAAAAAAAATAGGGGGGGGGGGCCGAACCCGGCCGGTCCGGTACCGGAACCGGCCTGTCCGGTCACGGTACCGGTGCCATGGGGTGGCGGTACCGGAATCGTACCCTGACCACCCCTACCCTCAAAGTCATCCGTTTAACCCACCCACGTCATATCCATACCCCAACCCAACATCTCCCTACCCACAGTATCCCAACCCAACCCACACGGCTCTCTTACACTACTTCGACACCATGTCTCTCGTAGAGCCTACATGGCAAATGAACACTGGTACATCCCACCATATTATTTCTGATCCAGGTACTATTTCTCACATCTCTTCTCCATCTTTAAATTCACCATTTTTTATATCATTGTTGGTAATGGATCCAAAGTACACACTACGGCTGTTAGCACTCATAAATTAACCACCACCCCACCCCTCTCCCTTCACAATGTCCTTGTATCCCCTCATATAATACGTAATATTATGTTTGTTCGTCACTTTACCCGTGATAATAACTGCTCGTTGAATTTGATGCTCATAGTTTTTCTGTGAAGGATCTTTGGACATGAACCATGATACATCAGTTCAATAATGGAGGCCCTCTCTACCCTATGTGGCATCCTCCTACAACTACAACCAACATCGCTTTTGTCGACCCTCAAACATGGCATCGGGGACTTGGTCATCCCAGACTTGCTGTCCTTCATAGTGTCTCGAGTCTTAATTTTCCTTTTCAAGATTATCATAATAATTTACATCATGCCTTTCAACTGGGAAAACATGTGAATCTCCCATTCTCTAGGTCTCGTTTTGTCTCCTCTTTTCCTTTTCAGCTTCTACATACAGACTTATGGCAATCCCTTATTCCGTGTATAACTAGTTTTAAACTTTATATGATACTATTGGATGATTTCTCGCT